CTTTATAAAAAGGAAAAAAAATCCGAAGTAATGAACCAAAGAGGCCCTAAACAGTAGGGCCAGCACAATCGGTTTTAGGATCAGATCATAGCTGACAAGTGAAAAAAAAATATATGAAGATGAGATAAGCAGGACCATATGGAGGATACGAGGGATGGGTGAGCAAACCAAGATGATGATACTAGTATATCTCAGCTGCAAGTTGCAGAACCAACTGGAGCATGGCAGCAAAAGCATACAAACATATACTGGAGCTAGTTTTTGAACGTTGGATGCAGCAACACGTAGACCTAGGCGCCAGCCGGTGTTAACTAAGCTAGTCCACATGCAAGCAGACAAGCAGGCAGGCATGGCGCCGGCCGCGCGGCCTGATAAGTGGTTAACCACATGCGTGGTCCTTACCTGATACAGTCCATCCGTACTTGTTTGATCATATTGCCGTAAAAAAATTAGAAATTGTCGACAATATATGTGTATGGATATAGACAATTGACCAAAAGACTGTTATTTGTGGTTTTAGACGACTCTCTCCCCCACACCGGTGTCGGCCTCCTCCGATGACACCGGGAAACCCTAAATCGCACCGTCGCCCTCAACTCCTCCTTCCCTCTCATCTCGCCGCCATTTGAGAAGCCGTCGGTGAAATCCACGCTGGCTTTGGGGAAGGTGGCAGCGAGGCGCTTCATTGTTTTCGCGGAGTGTGGCGTATCCAGTCATTTTGGGGTAGGGCAGCCCCGAACCCCCGAGGCGTTGATGGCGGCATGGTTTCCCATCGCACTGCAGTGCGGCTAGCGTAACCGGTATGGAGGTGTGCCCTACTGTGTGCACTTGGCCGAAGAGAAATCCCGGTTTGGTGCGTTGCTGATGTGAGCAACGATGACGCTTGTCGACGCCGTCTCCTCCATGAAGGCATTGTCATGGCCATGTCAATTCCCTCCCCGTGCACCTGGGGGAATGTTAGGTTTGGTTCCTCGGGCCATATAGTGGCAGCGGCAAGGTGTCGTCCCCTGCGTGGAAGCGCTGCCTAGGTGCTCATGGAGTCTACCTTGGAGGAAGCTGGTGTTGGTTACCTTGTCAGCTTCAGGGGCGAGGCTTGGTTGGTGTGTTGCTTTGGTTGTTGTGGCGGGCATGTGCCTATGGGGCGCAATATGTACTTGGTCATCGACACCTTTTGCATGGCGTCTTCCTCGGGCCCGTCCACTTGGCGATTCTCTTCGGCAAGGCTTTGAGGGTGCGTTGATTTAGCGTGGCTCGATGTCATCTTTGGCTGTGACGCGGGTCTCGGTCCTCCGTGCCCTCTCTCTTCGCCATTTGTGGCTTGAGGCTGGACAAGGCGGGTTTTTGCGTCGTTGTGGTCGTGGGTCTTTGGTGTGGTGTGATTGCTATCCCCTCCGATTAGGGTTGTGCTGTTGTATGCCGAAAGGTGTTGCGTCTCGGCTCTTCTTCCGTGAATTTGATACCCCTCCACACGCGGTGTATTCTCGAAAGAAAAAAAATAAGATACGGACAGATTCTTAATTGGTTGGTTGATATAGTAGATACTTGGATTCTAAATTGGTTGGATCAGTTCCTCTGATCAAGGTACCGGCCGGTTCCGGTTGAGCCAGCCAGCCAGCCAGCCAGAGCACTCTTGTCTTATTCTCAATCACTGCTAATTAACTCCACCGATTAAATTAACCACGCGTCGATCACGCCTAAAGCTTTGTTTGCGACAACGAACTTTTGGGCATCCGCAAAAGACCGCCGGCATCTTCCCGTGCGTCCGTGCGTGACAGAAGTATTCTTTTGTTTCGAAATTGATGAAATTTCTATCCAGCTGGAAATCACAGCCAGCGGCGCTCCGGCGGCCGGAGCGCCGCGCGGTTGTGTTGGGTCACTTGGCGCGTCACCGCCGACGGGCGGCACCGGCAGGCGGTAGCGCGCCAGCCTTGACTTTGACTCCTCCGTCCGTCCTCCCTCCGAGTGGCGGTAGCTCGCTGCCTAATCCTTGGTGTGGTATGTCCAACCTGGATGGTTATCCGTTTCTTAATCACTTTTTGCCTTGTCCCTTTCACAGGAAGGCATGTGGAAGGAGGAGGTTATCCCTATGTCCTCGTTTGCCAGGGCACGTTTTCAGTTAGCTTAATTGGGAAGTTAATTATTTTTGCTGGGATCTGGGCGGATGGACCCAAGCATCCAACATGGAGAGGTCTTGCTGAAGAGACTAGGTTTTCTTTGTTTTGGGGAAAATGAAGGCCAGGGCATTTTTAATTCCAAGATGACTTGAAGAACTCACAAACACATTTCCCCTGCTTAGCAAACGAATAGTCCTTTTGTTTTTAGGAAACTATAAGAGTTGGGACATCTTTACTAAAAGAAAATCTGAAGAAGAAAAAATCCAAAAGTCTGATTCATTGCTTCAGCGAACATGAATACATCCCTGAAAGAAAATATCTTTGTATGTATAGTTTTTATTTGTAGATAGACAACTATCCAAAGTGGATTTTGTTCTCTCGAGTCCATTTGCACCGTTTAGTTTACAGTAATTAAATAAAAAAACCATACTTTTTAGATGTTCCACAAAATTTTGAAAACACATATGTCATGTGCGTATGGCAGCAAACTATTTATCTGCAAAATTTATGATAAAACATAATACTTTTTATTCTTAGCAAGAAGACAAATAAGTGAATATAATAGCGATATGTTATGCACCGACTTTTTCTCTCGGTAAAAAGAGCACGAGGTTTCGCATTTTTTGCAACTGTGGTAGCAATTCGTTGGATCGATCTTATTAATGTCCGTGAATGTGAAATCATATATCAATACAGCTCAATAGGCAAAACTCGATGAAATCGCTATCGTAGTATCCGCTAACTTGACGGACTGAAAATAAGTGGACTCGAACCGCTGACATCCGCCACAATGTAAACCACCACCTCTATGGCCTCCCCGATGGGTTCTACCATAGAAGCCAATGATAAACAATACTCCCCTCCCTCTTTCAAACACACCTTACAAATTTCATCGTACTATGCTCTCCAAAGAGCAACTGTTTGAGAATTTTTGGCAATGCATAATGCTCTCGAGCCCAACTATGAGTTACCGAGCAATCATCTGAACTTGTTCTAAAGGAATTGCCAGCCTTTGGACAAGATTTCCCTTTTGATGTCATGACCAGTGATTCGCCATTACCGTGACACCGGTAAGCCGAAGATGAAGGACATTGCATTCTTTCGTTTTACCGGGACTCGGAATGGGTCCTCCGTTTGAACTTGCGCTTGTGCAAGCATGAACATGGATACCCATCTTTCGTGTCGAACCATTGAACTCTGGCATCGTTGTTTTTTATCGCTAGCTAGCAAGGATTTCTTGTTTTCCGTATTCCTTTTCCGTTGTTTCTTTCATTGCTAGTACGCCTAGCATCGTCGTTTGGCGCGTGGAGGTGTGTCTTTTTGCGGATTTTGTCTTTGGTGGAATTTTCTCGGGCCCGTTTATCGTTTTTGTCTATGTTTGTGTGTCTTCATCGTTGGATCCTTTTGATCTACGCCACTCTTCATCGGCAGGATCAGTTGCTGTTCTGGTGTGCTGGCCGTACAGCACGACGTTACTGTTTACTACAACAGTTTTGCCCGGCTCCGGTGAGGGAGGGGCGATGATGGTGGCGTGCTTTTCAGCTTGCTTGAGTGCTTGTAGTCGTCGCTAGGTAGTCTACGGATATGGATTTGATTTTTATCACCATTTAAGGCGTTCGTTTCTTATACCATCGTGATTGAAGATGAATAGATCGAGAGTTTTTCAGAAAAGAAATACATGTGCATGGTCTTTTTTCTAAATACGGAAAGAGTACTAATAGCGTGCGAGCTTTTATCAAGGTGCAAAACAAGAGAAGCTTTCCAGCAGCTAAAAATGGAGAAAGAGAGACGGAGATCCACCACTATATACTCGTACGAAACCGCCAGGAATTGCGTGTTGGGAGGACCGACCCGTCTGGCCTGCGCTACCGTGTACTCCCTCCGTACGCAAATACTTGTCATCAAAATAAATAAAAGGGGATGCATCTAGATGTATTTTAATTCTAGATACATCCTTTTTTGTCCATTTTGATAACAAGTTCTTTCGGACGGAGGGAGTACAAACGAAACCAACAAAACCCATCCGCCCTGTGGGGAGACCTCGACGGCAACTCCGGCAACGACAAGAAGAAAAAGAAGCGGCGACGAAGCCGCGTCCGTCGGAGACCGTCCGTCACGCCATTCTCATTCCCCATTCCCCACACACCGCAATAAACTCCACCCGCACCATTTCCTCCCCGCTTCCGCTTCCACGCGCTTTGATTTGTCGCCCGCCGGTTAAAACCCCCTCCCTCCCCCCACCCCACCGTCTCCTCCATTCCCCTTCCTTCCTTTCCCCCACCCAACAACCAGCCCCCCCTCC